GGTTAAAATATCCTCACTGCTAAACTTCCTAGACGTTTACAAAATGTAGCTTACAATTTTGCAANGTGTGTGTGTGTGTGTGTGTGTAAATGATGAATAGAAAATGTCTCTGTGTGTGTGTGTGTGTGTGTGTGTGTGTGTGTGTGTGTGTGTGTGTGTGTGTGTGTGTGTGTGTGTGTGACAATAACAAATTTACCCAGGGTTTAGTTCCATTGTGTCCCCAACATCACCCTGTTAATCATTTATGACTGAAATCACCTTTTTTAAACAAGGTTGTTCTGTTTTACACTTTGTGCACTTCACAGTGGTAACACGGGGGGAGACACATGGAGCCTGCATGATGCCACTCCCTCTGGTTCAGCTCACTTAGTCTGGACACCATCGAGCAGCCTTTAATTCAATCAACCGTGCTTTGCATTCAGACCTGCCTTACTTGTCTTACAGTTTGCTGGGCTTGCTGAACTTCAGTATAGCACACTGCATATGTTCAGTCATGTTTAGTGCTTCTTACAGGAGGTTGTCATTTTCAAACACCTTTTGTACAGTTTCATCACAACCTCTGTCATGAACCAATGAAATTGGAAAAGAGCAGAATACTGGAGAACTGGAGAAGACTGAACTGATGTCTGACAAACTAAATATGTATGGAGAAAGGTCAATCATATGTATCCTGCACAGGGTCTGCAGTAAGCTTTTTTATCTAAAGAAGATATTTTGAGATTAAAGTTGACTTTGATGTCATTTTTTTCAAATCTTCGAGTCAAAACAATCTTAGCGTGACATCATATCGTCTCTCTCTCTGACTTTCTATTTGCTTTACCTGGCAGTCTTTAAGGGAACCTATTATGCTCCTTTGGGGTTCCCTCGCCTGTAGTGTGTAGCTATATGGTTTATAGGTATGGTGTTGTGTGTCCTATCACAACAGAGCGGGCCAGCTAACCAATGAGAGCAGACTGGGCTCTGGTTTCAGACAGAGGGTGAAAAGAGGTGCTGCAGCACAGGCAGTATAAGAAGAATAAAGAGCTTTTTGAACATTAAAGCATGGAGACATGTCCCAGTAGAGACACTTAATGCTGATATGAACCTGAACATGTGAATAATAGGGCCCCTTTAACTTGTATCAGCTATGGGCAGACAGCTCTTCACGTCTCTGTTGTGTGACTACCCGAGAATGTCAACGTATAAAGTCCAAAGTTTAAATAGTTTTATTGTATATATATTAGAATTATCTCAAAGGTACTTTAAAAAGTACCTTGGTACATGTACGCAGCAACAATACAAATATATTTAGGTTGGCAACTGATGCTGGGGCCAATGAGAGGGGAGTCACTGTGAATAGAGAACCTATGTGATAGGGTCTGTATGTTGTGTCACTGTCACTTTAGCAACGGCTAGCTGTTAATCCTGTGTTGTTTACCTCTCTGTTACCTCCTATGTTGACTTTTAAGATACCCTCTAAAAAAAATCTCTCTCAGGGTGAAATAAATGGGAATTCAATAATTGGTATTATTAAAGTGTGTCATTCGTTTAACATGGTTAAAAAGGGAAACATTACAAATAACACAGCTTCAACAATTTATAGCCTACTACTTCTGACCTCAGTCGTGCGAATAGAGGCTAAACTAACTTGTTGTCACTTTGTGTGCACACTCCTCTCGTCTGGTCGCGTGAAGCGGTGGATACACGGATATGCTTCCACGCGCTCCCACCAGCCAGGGCTCGTGTGACGCAAAGAAGTCTACTTAAAGCTGGATTAGCGCGCGCGGAGCTCCTCACTGCGCGCAGTCACACAGAAGCCGCCTTACGTGCAGAACACAGCGGCTCAGAGCGCTTATCACCGCCCGGAGAGGAGAGGAACACATATCCAAGCTTTCACTGGATATTTCCCGAGATCTCCCAGAGGAATAATCTGATCCTCGGGTTTTTATTTCTGCACAATTTTCTCCTGAGTGTTATCTTCTCCGAATGAGCAACCATGGCGGAGTGGACCATATTAGAGCGGCTGTTGGAGGCGGCTGTCCAGCAACACTCTACTATGATCGGAAGGTAAGAGGTGGAGAAAAAAAAGAAAAGAAAGATGTCCTCCTTCTCTTGAAAAAGTTTTACATCAAGGTCAAAAAGAAAAACTATGCCAACCGAGTGTAGAGTTTGAGAATCAGAAGAAGAGCATCACTGAGACTCTGTTAAACCAGATAGCGTTAACACGTGTACTGTTTTAATCTTTAAAAAAACATTATTAAGGGAACGCACAAATCTAAACTTCAATTGTGTTAAGTCAAACCACCACAGGAGGAGTGTGATGTAACGTGTTGTTTCAGTACTGGACAGCTCCAGGATCAGCTCCACCCTTAATACACCCTGCCACCACCTGAAGGTCTATCCGGGGATCCACTTCTGTCTAATAAGGCACAGTTCAAAGATGCATTATTATATTAAAAATGTTAAGTCATTAATGAGATCAATGATATCTCTTTGGCTGGGCAAACTGCCAATCTGATAAATTTCAAACCAAAGGGATTGTCCAGAAACTGGGCAGCTAATAGTAAATAGTGATTATAGGTTTATTCATTAAAAACAATGAATAAACACGTTTCAGTCGAAGCTTTGTGTCTTTTTGACGTAACATGAAATACAATTGCTATGTTAGATATAGATTTAATATATATATATTATAATAATTATAATAATTATAATAATAATATAAACATTTAATAATATGAAAAATATATACAAAAAAATAAAGAACACTTTTCCGCACTGCATTTTTCCTGCTGGATTTTATTTTGTTTTTCACAAATCTAATTTTTTTTTTTTTTAAAAGCAACAATAACTAACGATTATAACTAGATATAAATTGTGGTACAGGTTTAAATCCACCTTCAGGAAATGGTTTAAAGTAAATACCATTCATACTTGTATTGTGTAAGTGATCTAACCACTGCAGAGTGATACAGTTACAGGGGAGATGGATTGGTTTAGGTACAATGTATTGGGATCAAGGCTGCCTGGGGGGTAGAACAACGTGTAGAATTGAAAACATGCTTTGTATAATGCTCTGCAGAAAGGTAAACATAACATTGTAAATGTGGAGTAAAAAAAAAGCTAAAACATGCAAAAGTTGGCAAAAACATGGTTTATTTTACCATAATGACTACATCCCTGATTAAGATAACAAGAAACAGATTAAGTACAGGTCAAAAGAGGGTCCACTCACAGGGACACAGCTCCTAACACAAGTAAACCCAGGAGCCTCCAAATGATCAGTGAACACCCTTTTCCTTCCAAATATCACATGTGTGAAAACTGATACATTTAGAATTTAGAAAGAGTTCAATGAACAAAGTGCTTCAAAGCTTTAAGGTCCACCATTTTATATTTCCATCTGGGCATTGTTATTATGCAAGCACCAGATATCTACATAGTAATAGAGCTCTACCTGAAATATTAGCCCTCATGCTATCATCTGCTTCCTATTGGTCAGTCAGCCTGCCAGTAAAGCTGTCCTGTGATCAACCTAACGTCTTCCCACTACATTGGTTTGAATGCCTGTCGGACATTTTGGTACGTAAAATGGTCTGGTCCAGTGGTTTCTAACCTTTCTAGCTTGTTGCCCTTTGAAACAAAGCTATGTCTAATTGCGACCAGTAACATACCGATTTACCGTCTAGTGAGCGTCAATAATTAGAGTGCCAAATAAGTACAGTTATCCACTATTGCAGGAAAAAGATAAAAGATTAGAGACCCTAATTCTGAGGTAGGGACGTACCAATCCCAGACAAACCTCGGTGTTTACTGCCTCTAGGCTTTGACCCTATTGAAGATTATCAGGTAGCTATCTTTCTTGTAAAAAAAACAACTGTTACATTTCATTAAATGTAATTTAGCTTTTATCCAAAGCGACTGACATACACCTGAATACCATAGACATGCCTAAGGGGATCATTTGGTTTGGTAGGTGTCTTTCCCAAGGACACTTTATCATGTTGATTGCAGATGCTGGGGATCGAACCATTGACCCACTGACCGTTGGTATGCACCATATTTAAGATAAGTTTGATTTAGAATCACTCAGACAAATGTTTATGTTGTGATTAACCCAAAAAGACCAGGATCATGGATGCATGCAAAAGGGGTCCAGTATAGCAATACTTTTTTGTTATCTGGTCTTGAGGCTTGCTCACAAAAAGGGTGTTTTTAAATAACCCAGCTACTGTAAATGTGATTATATTTCTGGTTTCCCCGCAGGATCCTGCTGACTGTTGTGGTGATCTTCCGGATTCTGATCGTAGCGATTGTTGGAGAGACCGTGTACAACGACGAGCAGTCCATGTTCGTGTGCAACACCTTACAGCCGGGCTGCAACCAGGCCTGCTACGACCAGGCATTCCCTATCTCCCACATCAGGTACTGGGTATTCCAGATCATCATAGTGTGCTGCCCCAGCCTCTGCTTCATCACTTACTCTGTGCACCAGTCGGCCAAGCAGAAGGAGCGGCGCTTCTCCACCGTGTTCCTCTCCCTGGACAGAGAAATGGATTACTTGAAGAGAGATGACAGCAAAAAGATGAAGAACACCATCGTGAACGGTATTTTGCAGAACTCAGACAACTGCAGTAAGGAGGTAGAGTCCAACTCCATGATGAGCAAAGAATATCCATGCAGCTCACAAAAACGAACTACAAAGTCAAAACTGCGACGGCAGGAGGGCATCTCCAGGTTCTACATCATCCAGGTGGTGTTCAGAAATGGACTAGAGATTGGGTTTCTGGTGGGTCAGTACTTCCTGTATGGATTCAATGTCCCCGGGGTGTACGAGTGCGATCGGTACCCGTGCATAAAAGATGTAGAGTGCTACGTTTCCAGGCCGACGGAGAAGACGGTGTTTCTGGTCTTCATGTTCGCAGTCAGTGGTATTTGCGTGCTTCTGAACTTGGCAGAGCTCAACCACCTCGGCTGGAAGAAGATCAAAGCGGCTGTGCGAGGGGTGCAGGCCCGAAGGAAGTCCGTTTATGAGATCCGGAACAAAGACATGCCCAAGATGAGTATGCCCAATTTCGGGCGCACCCAGTCCAGTGACTCTGCGTATGTGTAACTGCCCAAAGGAACATGGGGAGGCTGCAGGACAGCTGTGTAGAAACAAGTCATCAAGAGCAATCATTCATATATTAGTATTTAGTCTTCAAATGAAACAAGTGAAAGCTGAGGATTTTCAGTGAAAGACCAATTACTGAAGAGAGCTTTGGACTGAATCCTCCTAACTGGAATTTGTATGTGGACCAATAATCTAGGTGACATCATGTTGTATTTAGCAGGTATTGATTTGATTTGTCTTTAATGGAGAGGTTCAGATGGACCGCAGATTTGTTTACTTGGCACTAGTAAACAAATATATTTTATTGTGGTGCAAAGTGTTTCTTGAAAGCATAAACTGATACAGTGTATGGCCAAATGTGTGAAGACAACTTAACATTAGTAATAATTGTATTTGGAGTCTTAAACTTGACATAGCTCCTCTGAAGCCACTGTCATTATACAGCTGTTTGCAATGGTTACATAGAATCTCCTGAGACTGGTGAACCACTGCTTGTGCAAAATGTTTGGGTAAACCAACCCCAACCTTAATCCTGGATTGGAAGTAAGGGACTTTGTACAAACTATGAGAATCTCAAACCAAAAGTACACTGAAAAAGACATCATGTTGGCCATAGTGTGTCTCATTTGAATTAGTATATTTTACACTAAAAAAATCAAATAAACAGCTCAGATGTAGTTGGAATGACATTCCAGTAGTTCCAAATATCACTTTCTTAGTACAAACACACACTCTGGCAGTAGAATCAATCTTTGGATCTGATAGCTTCATCTCTTACGAATCTCATCGGTTTGGGTGCATGTGCTCGGACCATTGACCTTAACCTGAGTGATCTCTCCTTTGCTTTAGCAGCAGGAATGTGGTGCCTGAACTAAAAGAAAAAATTATGTAAAAAAAAAAAAAAGATGTATTTCATTCTTAATGTTTCTTGTTTTCATGTCATTAAGTGCCATACATATAGAGTCATATTTATCTAGAAACTTAAGAAAAAACATGAAATCCCACTCATCATAACATCCTGAACTGTATGGAAATGGTGTCCTCCTTCCATTCAATTTGTAACATCAACACAGACAACCGCTGCATTGGTGCCATATGTCTGCCACCGGTGTTACCATTTTCAAGTGTGATGTAAATGATGCCACTTTTAAACAAATATGAATGCATGTGTAATAAAATGAAAGTTATTTTAAATAGTAAGTGTGGTGTCTAATGTTCAGGTTTTATGTTGTTCAACCTTTACATGGAGAAATCTGAAATAATGATTTTGATTTTCTGAATTGAGGTGGACAGCTGTATTTTGTCTTGTTTTTTCTAATAAATCTAACAAAAATTCAAAAACCAACAATGTTAGTCCGTCCTTTCTTATTTTCTGATGTTCCTACTTTGTCTGTTGCTTTTTGCTATAGATAGACTATTGGTTCCTGAAAACGAAAATCCTGAATGATAGTTTCATTGGCTCTACAGTATATAAAACCATATATCAGGCTTTGATACACCATACATGTTATTAGTCTAATAATAACAAATGCCTCGATTAGACTCCTTTGTTTACTTCTGTAACACAGAGACATCATCATGTATGGGAGGGAAATCTATTGAATGTTGACCAATCACATTACATTACATGTCACTTGTTAGACACTTTTATCCAAAGCGACTTATACAGTATACTCAATACTGTGGACAATCCCCACAGGAGCCATTTGGGGTGAAATGCTGACTGCCGTGGGGTTTGAACCTGTGACCCCCTGATCCAAA